AAAAATGAGGTTTAAACATATGCCGGTATCTCAAACGTTTTTATACCCGTAAGAAAATAAATAGTATTTTCTTTAAGTTCGACCATTCTTTACTACGGATGCCAAAAATCATAGAAATTGGTTAAATCATTGCTGCCGAAAAACACAATTCAAAAACATAACCAACGCGCAAATTAATAAATAGGTTCGGACCACCTTAAGAGGTGGCCGTTGTAGAGAGGTTTTAAACAAGAGTCAGCATACGGTATGTTTTTTTGTTAGCTGAGGTTCGACTGTATTTCCACTAAAAAGGACTGTGTCTTGTAGAAAAAGTACCATCAATTAACAATATTAAAATATAAAATAATGCTTAACATTAACGACCATCTTTTAACTACTGCAATCAACAAAATTCTTATCAAGAAGACATATACATGTAAAATGTAGGTTTAATTATTGAATCTGGGTGTAAGTGTTAAAGCACAGTACAAAATTACCATATGAAAAAATGGCATTTTTACTTACTTTGTTTGCATAATGTCCTTTGTCACCACACTAAAAAAGAAAGTTAAAACATAAAACAAATTAACAAGGGGAATGGACGGAAGAATTTATGTATTTACAATATAATAATGAATCTAAATGAAAGAAGACACAAAAGTGATTACTTTAAACATAAGGAGGCTATATAGCAGACCAATTAATTAGTCATCACTTATGACTGAGATCTGTAGATGTTTCTTAAAGGATGTTTAACAATGCAAACAAGCAACATTACATTAGTATGGACTTTTCAAAGCAAAAATGCAGATGTCTCTCTTGAGAAATGTCTCCATTGAGGGACAGCCATGAGACACCTCTATAACTGCACACTAAGATCAGTAGGGTTTCAACAGCGCAGGGTGTTGTACGCACAGACCTTGTAACAGGTTACTGACTCCAGTGGTCTCCTCATCATGGGCTGATCATGTTCCACATGCGCATGCACGTTCGTTGAGACAGGAATCACGCTTACATTGGACTGATTCATCTGCAAAACATTAGACCAAATACCTGCTCAACATTATTGTAAACAATTTTACAACCCGCAAAAATTACGTTAATTTTAACCTAAACACCAAGATAAAACAACATTTCACCCAAAAATCTATACAACATTATCACACATAAAATTATAATAATATTTATGACTGCAACATTAGTTGTTATTCATTCAAAACACTTCTTTGTTTCTTGATTACTTAAACTAGAGCTTCCTAAAGAAAGGTTAAGTGTAGTTGTATCTTTGAGAAAAAACAAATCTTCAAAAGTTTCAGCCACAAGATATCCTTTGAGGGTCATTTTTTACCTTAAAGTTTTCTCTATGAGGATTAGCTGGACAGCTTGATGCTTTGTGACCAGGCTGATTACAGTAGTGACAAACAATGTTTGCTTTCTTGTCGGCTGATTCATCTTTCACAGGGAGCTCAAACCTAGGACTGAAGAAACAGAAAATTTATGATGAGATATTCATTTTATCTATTTTCTGGGGCAGGATTAGCTCATCCGGTAGTGTGCTTGACTGTTGAGTGGAGGGTTATGGTTTTGATTCCAGGGAGACCAATATTAAGGGTCTTAAAATAACTGAGAAATGAAGGGACTGTCTTTACCATGCAAAAGATGACCACATAAAATGGCAGTCCTGTCTCCAGTAAGAGATTTAACAATAGCGTTCTCAATATTATTAGCACTTTCATACTTTCATACTACCACTGACTTTCAAATAAACTGCTTTTTTAAATTTAATTTAGCACTGCCAGACTTAACAGACACACAACAAGAACTAGCACATACTAGAATTATCATTATTATTTTTGAAAGTTACACATAAGAGGAATAAGAGGAACACATGGAACACAACAATGATGTGAAAATGACTTTTTGTCTTTTTGGCCCCTGGAGGGCATGTTTACAACTGTACATTGTAAATGCCAAAGAATGGTGGGAAACATTTGAATTGAGGAATGGGTCAACATAATGTGTCATGTAAAAAGCCACATTCTACGAGTGAAAAGTCACATTCGCTTCATATCATATCATACATCTGTGCTTAGGAAAAGGAAATATATTGCAGGGGACAAGAGGAGCCCGCAATCCTAAACTCCAAGTTCTGTTACACACACACGTCACATACATGTATGTAGCCAGCTTTGTTTGGACTTCACTAAAAACGAATGGAATGCACAGAAAACAATCTGAGCATGAGTATTTGGACCTTCTTTCTATCCTTGTAATCTGATGCAAAGCACAGCATTGTCGCCCACACTCCATAAGCTTTTGTTATTACTAGTCACAAAAATAATATGACAACATTCATGTATTACATAAAACACCAGTGTTATATACTCACTGCATGTGTTTACATTTGGGTCCTTCTGGACAAAACCCACATAAATAGTTCAGACAAATCACGCGTCTGACGTGGCGGTGCCGACAACTTGGACCTGAATAAAGGAGTTTAAATTACATCTATTTTATTTATTGTCCCAGTACCTGGTATTATTTAAATAAGAAACTGGTTTTGTTTTTATCAACTTATGATGATGAACTTAATATTATTCAACATGGCATGTGCAGGATAGGGATGGTCCATTTTTTTGTCTTCATGGTCACCACTTTATTGACAATGATGTTTCAACTATCTACATGTACATGCATGTACTACTGGTCTAGATATTTTTACAGTCTCAGTTTCATGACCTTTATCTTTACATAAGTTTATCAACAACATTACCAGTTACATCTTTAACTTCCCATGACAACACTCAAAGTCATGTTGAAACTCCTAGTCAATTTCTAAAATTATAGAAAAATATTCTTCTACACCAATTTTAATATTATTTCTTGAAAGCTATGCAGAGCTTTCGGAACCCATTCAGATCCCTTCATCAGTGACGTTTACTGTTATTCAGAGCCTTGTAACTTTTGTTGGTGTTCAAGAATATTTCTCTCTATTATATGGCTACAATAGTACGCCTGCCCTGATTGGCTGCTAAGCAGGCAATTTTTTCTTGTAATGACCAGGCATTACTAGCTAGATGTCCAAGGCACATACAGTCTGTGTTTAACATGATAGTGGACATCTGTGTTATGGTCAATTGACAGCTGTAGACCTTCCCGTCGTCGTTTCTTAAGCTCCCTAATGTCTAAAATGGCTTGTTCTATCAACCCACCATGTTTGCAGAATCCTCTGTCGTACCAAGGGCAGTCTTTTATTTTTGATTCTGGGTCGATATGGAGATATTGGCATTCCTTGTTGCTGCATTCTCCTGAAAATAGGAAAGCAAAAGAAAAGTTGTTAAAGATTAATAAATTCTTCCACAGAATAATTCAAAAATAATAACTGGAAAGGCCAACAAAAAGTGATAAATAGAAGATTATAAGGAATTTCCACATCTTATCACACAAACAAAAATAGCCCTCTAGTTTAAACAAAAGCGCTTCTGCTCAAAGAAAATGTAATTTGTCTCTCACCATCTTTGTTTGATAATAGCAAACATACAATATAACATAAAGAAAATGTGGCTACCAGTTAAATAAAGGTGCCACCTATGTGGCTAACATTTTTCTTCCATGGCCACTCAAAACGAACTAAAAAGAACTTTTCAAGATCCCCAGAATGAAAGGAGGGTAACTCCTTCCCCCAATCCCGCCACTACCTACACCTCCACACAACTTTGATGTATGAAAGATGCTCCTTTTAACCAAATCCGTTGCCGCCCAGTTGATTTTCTTTTCCATCTACTTAAATTATCCTAGAGAGGTCTTATTTCTAGCAATAACTTGCAAAACAGACAAGAAAAATAAAAATGACACCAACGCACACTCACCAAACTTGGAATAAAAGTAACACTCAGGCATCTTTGTCATGTCATACTCATGAAGGAATTCACACTGGTCACCTTTCTTACATAATCCTCTCAGCCAGTGCTTACATACAACTGTCTTTTCACCCTTGGTGTGTCTAAATGGACACAGTGCGCCACGATGACACACATTCCTCATAAAATATTCACATACAGCTGCACCAGATTCTATGGAACAGAACATCAATAGGAAAAAACAAAACACAAGGCAAAAAAACCTGTCATTTAAATCAATGCACAACTTTTTCAAAGTATGTATTTGCATACACCTACAAGTTTTGGCTAGATTCCAGAATACCTGGTCACTAAATATCTAACTTAAAAGACTTCTCTGGCAGTCATCCAATTTGCATAATAAATTCTGACATCAACTGCAGCACTGTGGGACTGAGGGAGCACTAGAAGACCTCGTTCTATAAGCACACTAGTTACTTGACATGGCCTGCTAGAGTGTGAGACTGGAGGAGTACTTGTTTTACTCGCTAAGATTTAAGCATTTTGGCATAATTGAACACGACTGTGGGACTGTGGGAGCAGTTTTGCAAGTGCGACATTTAGTGGGTCGGGTATTCTGCAATTGCTCCCAAGTTTTGCACAGTGCTAGGTATTAAAAAGACTGGGCCTATAGCTAGCTAGCAATATATCAAGGGAGAAACTAAATGGTAAGCAAATACTCCAAAAGTCCCGTTGTCTTGTAGACAATACAATCATCTTCAGGTGGTAGAATAATTGCTCCCGCTGTCTTAAGTGTACAGAACTTTAAATCAGATAACACATGAGAATGGTACTGTCCATTCCTTGGAATGGAAGAGGTTGCACTCCAACTTGATTGTAAAGCTGAAGCTCTATCTCGAACTTTAAATCCGCCACGCTGGCCACGATTTCCTCCATGTTGATACGAAGTAGCAGAGATAAGCTTAATTCTTTCTGGTAATCACCTCATCTAATATAATCTCCCTTAATTTTCACCCAAGTTCTAATCAAAATTTCCACATGGCGTTCTGTCAAACATGGCGTGCTAGACGTGGAGGCTAGGCTGCTAAGTTTTAAGTAGGTACTGCATATATGCCTATCTCATGTATGCCGACCAATGTCCGGGGTATCGCAGGCTCGCTGCTTTTTTACCATTGAGGGAGCGAGGAGTGAGGAAAATTTATCTACCCATAGTATACCAATTTGTATACCTGTTTTCTTTGTAGAAAATGTCTAAACGAGGAGGTAGGTCTATAAATATCTTCTCTTTTTGTCTTATTAATTTGCTTGCTAAATGGCATATCTGTGGTTGTGTACACAGGACGAGGAAAAGGACATCATAAAGGTCGAAGGCGCCATTTTACTGATGCTGAAGAATTAAGAATGGAAATGGAAAAGGAGAAACGACAGCAGGATTGGAGGGTAAAACGGCTTTATTTGACTTCATTTTGTATTTAATAAAATCAGTAAAACAATTACAAGGAAGTTCCAATGACTCGTAATTGTAGCAATATAATTGGAACGTCGTACCTGGCATATTTCTAGCTTCCTCGAAAAAACGTGATTTTTGAACTGTGGCACGCGTGGTGCAATACCCGCATAATTTCAAAAGAAGTGAATAAAATCATTAACGCATGGCATTCTTTAGTTATTGTTAGACGTACAGTACTACATAAAAAGTACAATAGCCTTATTAGAACAACACAAGGCTGTTGTTAAAATAATTAATTAGCTGTTGAGGAGCATATTAATATATAATTTATCAGCATATCAAGGTGCTTCTCATTTCCATTGGAATTATTGCACATCTAGTGCATAGTTGATGTAAAGTGCTATGATAGAATTAACTGTTTTGCCTTCTTCCTACTTAGATTGTGATGGTTTCACTATGGGTGGATTTATTTGCAGCATACATGTATAGTTGTCACATTTGCCTGCTGGAGTATTTAATTGTTTTTAAGCCTAAAAACAATTTAAAAATTCCAGTGGGCAAATGCGACGGTTATACGCGTTTGTTGCAAATGTATCCAGCCTATGTTTTGACTGAATTGAGTTTTAATGTTCTTTATCCAGGAGAGAAAAGAAGGTGAAGGGTCTGGTGATGAAGATGGAGCTACTTCCAGGAAACTTGAATCTGATAGTGATGAGGATTCAGAAAGTGAGGAAGAGATGGTATGCTACAGTCTTTTGTCTGTTTCATGCAGTGATCGTCATCATCATCATCATCATCATCCAGGAACTCTTTATTTTTACTGTAGGGAAAACCTAAAGGAGTCAGTGGTCTCATAGAAATAGAAAATCCAAACAGAGTAGCTCAAAAAACGAAAAAGGCAACCAATGTAGATGTCAATGATGATAAGCCACAGCTGTCTCGAAGAGAAAGGTTTGTAATCTTACTGTCAGTAGTAATATAAATTTATTACTGAATTGAAATGGATGAGTTGAATCATAATTATTTTGAACTGCCGATAAAGATATGAAAGTGAGAAGAGTTTGTAATGTACACGATGGTGGAAATAATAATATACCATTGCGTTATTATGAACTCGTAATGGCCTGCTGTCAGGTTGGCTTGATTAGCTCAATGGATAGAGCATTGCATCCGGGCATCACAAAGTTCAGGGCTCGATCCCAGGTCAAGCCTGAATTTTTTCAGGTTCTTTTTCAACAGCTTAGTTTGTTCATTCTACTGCTAAGATCTTGTTCACTTTCATATTAACTATTACTCATGCCCAAGTGAGGGACATGTCAACTTCCTCCCTTTTCTGTCTTGGGACATTTTTTGCAGCCCCAGTTCTCATTTCATTTCACTCACCCAGGCTGAATCTGCGAGCGGGCAAGATGAAGTGAATTTGTGTTCTGATTGGCTACCTGAAGTTTGGAGGTTTTTTTTTTCATCATGGCAAGAGATTGATTCTTGCACTTGTCAAGGTTTCTTTGGTTCACTTATCTAACAACCTTGAGTCCAGAAAAAGTCGTCAAATTTTGCATCCACAAATTTGTATGAAGCCTGTGGTTTCTGTGCATTCTACAAGAGTCAGATTAGTGAAAAAGCTGTGAAACAGGGCCAGCAGTTTTTTTTACTGTGATGAAAAGAATCTTTCATGATATTGATACGGTAATTTAAAGATCGGGGTTTATTTATTGCACCCTAGTAACTGACTGTGTCAATATCTCCTCATGTTCAAGATGATCAAAATGGAAACAGGCTTTCTTGAGTTTTTAATTGTTACTGCAGGTTCTGTTTTTCCAGTATTAGGCAGGGATATAGCTAAGAAAATGATAAGCAGGCTTTTTGGTTATTCAAGCCAACTGTTTTACTGATCTCCATCTCTAAAATTCCCACATCTTTGTTTTCCTTTCAATTTGAGCTGGTGATAAGCTCTTTTTCAGCCAGCAGCTGGCTCTTTGCGACATCCCTGATTAGGTCTTTTTCAATCATGTGGTGACCAGCTATGTAAATTTCTTGGAACAAAGAATTTTTTTATACATGAGAAAAGATTTTATCTTACCTTGAAAGCAGAGGTTTCTTTCTGGCATGGCTTTCAGCATTTGTGATCTCATTTACATTGCTTGTCAGGTGCATAGACACAACTGACATGCCACGCAAACAAATGCGCAAATGCTAAAAGCCATGCCAGGAAGAAACCTTTGCTCGCAGGGTAATTTGATCCTCACAGAGATTTTTTGGTATACCGACATGGCCGCTGTGATGTCATGACAAAATGATCTATTGCTACAACATTTTGCTCCCTAAGTTTGTAAATGATGTTTTTATGACATAGAAAATTGAGGTGTGCTTTAAGTCCATGAAACAAAAATAAACAAAAAGCTTGAAAACCACTGCATACCTTTTGACCCACTAGGGGCTCTGGTGTCTTTTACTTTCCAGTTTCTTTGCTTGTTTGGTTGGAGAGTTTCATCACTTTCATGCTTTGTGAAACCCTTTCAGGAGCACTGTTGTAAGTGTTACCTTGTAACTTTAACTACTACCTTCATAAATTGTTTTGAAATTGATTTTAGGGAGGAAATTGCCCGGCAACAAAATATAATGCGAGAGAGGAAACTTCAAGCAGAGGGTAAAACAGATCAAGCTCGGAGTGACTTAGCTCGACTAGCAATCATTAGAAAACAGAGAGAAGATGCAGCACGGAAGAGAGAAGAAGAGAAAAAAGGTACAATTTTATTGTCTCTAAATTCTGAAAGTTTACTTAAAATTCCTAGTGTTTGAAATTGGAAACTACACAATTGTTTGCTTTGTTTGACAACATACCGGTAACTATCTCGGGTATGAAGCATTTTCAACCAAAAGAAGCTCATAATTCAAAATCCTCAGGTATTTGATTGTAGTTTATTTAATCAGTGTTTGCAAGGTGGGTTGCTTGAAAATAGTGATAAATAGATGCCGTAAAATTCCGAAAATAAGCCCCGGGGCCTATATTTTTCAAAGGCCGTTTTTGAGGGGCTTATTTTTGGAGGGGCTTATCTATGGAGGGAAATTTGCGTCTCAAAATCGATGGGGCTAGCCTTATAGTTGGAAGTAAATTTACCGTTTTTGCTTTGTTTTACTTTGTATTTGAGGGCAATTTTCCAAGTACAAGCCCCCGGGGGCTTATATTAAATTTTGGAGGGGTGATTTAATGGAGGGTTTTTTGCATTACCGGTTTGGGGGGCTTATATTTGGAGGGGCTTAAACATGGAGGGGCTTATTTTCGGAATTTTACGGTATGCAAATATTGGTAGTTGTGATTATACGATATTTGTTTTAAGCACTTATCTTTCCTTTTTTTCTCTCAGCGAAAGAAGCTGCTCAAGCTGCAAAATCTGCAAAGCGGTAATAGAGGCTACATGAAGGATGACTGACGATCTACAGCATCCCTTGCAGAGAATTGACTTATAGAGGAATGAGCACAATAAGAAGCCCTATGGCCAGAGATATTCATATGCTTGCTATATCTTGTGGAATAACTTTTTTTTCCTTTTTTCCTCAAACAGAAGAGAAATTTGAGGCCCAGTTTGTACGCTTGTAAGATAATGTAACCACGTCCTTACTGCGCTTTTCATTAACATGCTAACTCTGAAATTCAACAGCCAGCTTACAATTGCATTTTTGGCCACCATCAGTCATAATTACGATCACAAGCAACAAACCTTGAAACACAGAAAATAACTCAAAATGGATCTAAATCCACCAATCACAAACCACCATCCATGAACTTTTGAACTTGCAGAAAGATCCTTCTGTTTCGTCAGAGGTCTGTTAAGATGATTGACGGCAGTAGAGAACAAAAATGTTAGTTGGCTTTTGAACTTAAGAGTTTGCGTGTTATTGGAAAGGGCAGTAACTGTCCTTGACCCATCCTCGACTATTTTCATTGTAACAACAATGCCAAGTTACAAGTTAAACCTCCAGCGGCATTTAACAGTTTCAGAGATGTTTGTATGGAGAAGTGTATAATAAACAATTATCATACCCTTTTCTGGGCTTCTGATCAGCAGTGTGAGTCCTTTATCTCAAATAGTTATTGTGTTCAATGTAGAAGAACGCACTTCTAATACATATGGCTCCTGATTTGAATTGAGATTGCATGGAACAATCCTCATTGGGCCACGCATTTGGCATCCCTGCAGATTTTGCAGGGGCTAATGACATCACCATCAACTTGGCAAAAGAGAGAGAGCCTGGTATGGAGATTCGGTCGAAAGTACACCGCCGCAGGTACACCGTAATCTTTGATTATTACCAGTTCAAATTTGGACCATCTCGGATGGGTTAGAGAGTTTGGGGTCTGGGGCCGGCAGAATTGCAGAGACCTGTTTGAAGTAAGGATAAATCCCTTAGTACCAGTATTGCTTGTTTAAATATTGCCTTTTCGTGGTTATTGTTAGGAAATGTCAGAATTCAGAATTCTTCAATTGCATAAATTGAATAGAAACTTAGCTCACCAATTGTTGAAGAGGAAGCATTGCAATTCAAATATTATTTTGTTCAACTTAGTAGAAACTAAAGGTCTGGACAGGGTATTTATATCGTAATGAACTTGCATCTGAGTTGTTTTCAGGCCCATAGCTAGAATTTTTTACGGGGAGGTACGATCCAACAAGGAGACAGACTAAATGATGCCAGAGGCGCAGGTCTCTGGGATGGAGGGGAATTAGGTTGCCGGAGACTGCATTTCGAGCATTTTGAAAAACTGGGTATTTCTCAAACTTTTAATCTTCAAAAGTATGGAGTACTTCATTTTACAATTTTTTAGAATGACAATGCTGGATGTCACTATTTAAACCGTGACTCACAAGAAAATAAGAGACTACTCGCAGTCTACACAATGGCTTGCTTTCCTTGCCTTACAAGGCGCTAGCTTAAATCATTTTAGCTGATACCTTAACCCTTTAAGCCCCAGTATCCACATACAAATTCTCCAAACTGATGTCCATACATTTCCTTAAAGAATGAGTTGAGAGAATTTGATAAAAGATCAAGGCATTTTTGCTGGGGTGATCATTTTATTAATTCTCATAACTTATCTGTTGACAATGTATGGATATTGTTAGGAGAAAATTGATCTTGGTCACTATTGGGAGGGTCAAATAGAAAAGGAAAGCAAGCCATTGTAAGGTTTCTTGGGGCGCTTTCCAAAGTTAGAACAGGCCAGGCAGATCAAAGCCGGACCAGTCATTTTGACAATGAAAAATGCTTTTTTCAAAGAGTTTTTGTTAAAAGACCATTTCCTTTATGCATGCTATTTGGGATCTGACTGGACAGTTTTGATTAAAAGTGAAATTCTCATTTTGATTGGAATGGTCTGGCCGCTCAGTTCTGTTAAATGGAAAGCACCCTTAGTTTTAAACCCATAAAATGGCTGAAATAAAACTGTCCACAGCAGGCTACACTTGTGAGGAAAAAGACTAGCAAAACTATTTAGCTGACGAGGGAATATAAGAGAATTTCAGAAAATTAAGGTGGCTCTGGACCAACAGAGTAACATTCTTCTAAACTATGCAAAAAGTGTCGGCAAACTGATTACTATATTCAACAATGAAACATCGGAGTCATTAGAGTCGTTTTTTGATTGATACCCTTATTTGAATGGCTTAACTTAGTTTAGGACTCATCCCTAGACTCGAAAGTGAGAACTTCCTTTTACAGCTTAATTAACAGCATCACTTGCCAAATAAACAGAAAAGCAAAGTCTCAGTAGCTCCTAAGTGTTTATCAGGGTGTCCTTACTGTCATTTACAGACTCTTATTGACTCTTGTTCTGTTTTAAAAATCTGAAACCAGAATTCGGTGCTCAAATTCTCAGCTCAGAGCTAAAGCTCAGTTTAAATTTTGAGGGGATTACAACAGCCTATATTTTGGTGTTTTTCTTGAATAATACTAAGAAGAAATAAACAGATTGTTTATTTGTACTGCAAACAGATTTAAATCAAGGACAAACTGAGGTACAGCATTCGCTCATGAGACCTAACAGTATTCTGCGCAGCAAATAAGTCGTTGAAACATTGCATATCAACCTTACGTACAAAAAAAGCAGGCCACAGTTGTTCAAAAGCTGGATAGCGCTATCCACTGGATAAATCGCTATCCAGAGGATAAGAAGTAGTCGGACCAATTGCTTTATCAAGTGGATAGCGCTATCCACCTTCCGAACAACTGGGGCCATGACTTTATTGAATCAAGTTACCCTACGATAGTACAGGAGCGTGATCATGTTCTAGTTGACAAAATATTTGGCGCCCGCTTCATATGAACAACCAAAGAAACAAACACGCGGTTTTTGAAGCCCAAACACAGTACACTTTATTGGTAAGAAATACGTTAAGAATACATGTATCATAAAAACATATGAATAAAAATACGAGAACACGACAGCCGGACACGTAAACCCTGAAAAAAACTGCCAATTTTGGAGAAACGGGGACCGTGTGCCTCCAACCATTGCTATGGTGGTGCCTTTGGGGTCTTAAGGCCTGCAAGCTTATGTAAATATGAGAAAAAAATTTTATCTTTAAGTAAATAGAAATAACTTCTTAGCTTAGCTAGGCTAAAAGAAAAGAAATACCGTTTGCTGGCTGAGTTGTCTGAGTCGGCAAGGCTGACCCAGAATACTGAGCGCAACTTAAACATCTCACGACTGTCGCCGTTTGAAAGTGCGCAAGCAATGACATTAAAGCTCTTTACGAGCACATTAACTTAAATCTCTCTTTTTGTACCTGCAGAACTGAATTATGTTTATTGAACCAATGTAAAGGTTTGAAAGCTATGATTCCGTGCCTTCACTCGGCAGGTGACCAGTATTGAGTTTTAAATTTGTTTTTGTTTCTACAATTTTAGAGCAGGGAAAACATTTCCTTGGAACCCCTGAAAATCTTTATGCATTATAAGGTTATTGCTGGTTATCTTACATGTTAAGCTATGAAATTAGCGAAGTCAGTGGCGTTAATTAAGAAGAATTCAGAAGTTCCAAGTTACGCTGTTACGCCGGTTGGTAGCCGAATTGATGAATTCTACATCTCTCTCAAAAATTAATATCTTGCCAATAATGTAAGATAGCTTTCTCACTTTACATCATGGTTCTCCGGCACATTTGCTACAGTCATATTAACCTTATTCCATGTTCATCTAGCACGAAACCAATACTGATAAGAACAAATAAACTACGGATTTTTATTATTTCTTTTGCTCTAACAGCCTTTTAAGATTACCAAACCAAATTCATGACTATTTACTTCTACTATCTTGCTTTCTAGTTCGTAAAATCCTAAGCAGTGATTGGCCCTACGAGAAAGTAGTGCTGTAAAAGTCTTATTTCCATGGTGACTCCATAGGGTTTGCTCACCGACAAACTCTGAGGTAACAACAACAATTTCTTTATTTTCATAAATGCTTTGAAAGAGTTCAGTTCGTACATACAGATCGCGCGTTAAACCGTTGTGATTCATCGACCGAGAATGATGTTACTACTTCTTCCCATATAGGCCCAAGTTCAAACTCGCTGAAGTTTAGAACCGTTGGCCGGTTTACAGAGAAAAACTGATAAACGATAAAAACTGAGTAGAAGAACAAATTGTCGAATTTAAACCTTATAGAATTGGCTGAATCCGTTTTCTTCAACGATCAGTGTGTTTTCTCGTGAAAGCAAGGGAGAGCGGTACGAAAAGCATCGAGTTTAAACATGGGCCTTACTTAAATATTATAGAGTCTATCGTAGTTTAAAGTTCATCTTCGCTTAGTTTCTCCTCCAAGTAGGGCGGTAGAGTAGTGAGTGTACATCCACAATCTCCCTCCAATATATGACTAATATGGACTCTTGAATTGCACTCTTTTCCTCATGGGTGCTGTTGGAACGAAACATTTTGGAATCATTATTTTTAATGTTTAAATATTAAGAATCTCGCAGGTCTATTTACTATAGCTGCAGAGTATTTTCGTGGTGTATTTTTTTGTACCCTTAAATTTATCATAGGGGTAGGTGCCTTCAGTGTCTAATGCCACTTCTATTTTGCTTTGTATACAATTGAATGAAGCAAAAATAATCCATTTTATGGAGTTTGAAACCCATAGTATCTTAATCCAGAATGTGTTTTCTGTTCTTCCTTTGTACTTTACAACTTTAATAAGTAAAGCACGTAAAGCTTACGACTGAGGCAAGTCAAATCTTCTCGTTTTCAAAGCTTGTTTTCCTTGACACCTCTAGTTCTAGTCTTTACCCTTACTCTTATGAAGCTGACTCGTTCTCAGCCTTCTCTTTTGACTCTTTTGCTCTGGGAATGGTCACGTGAGACTATTACAGCATCTGAGCCAGGGGCATTTTTCCACGCACCTTCCTCGTTGATATTTAAGAGAGAGCAGAGGGGTGACTGGAGATCGAGTCAGCTATTGAAGAAGGAAAAAGGTAAGTGTTTGGTGCTCACCAGGTGAAGACGCCATGGCCCTTTACTGAGCTGCGGGGTTTCTTCTTCGGA